TGTCACGCGGCCCATGTCGCCCGCCCCAGCACTGCCGCTGGGGAAGCCGCCGGCCCTGGGGGAGCCCACGGGAGCCCCTGACCGAGCCCCTCGTCCCCCGAGATGCCTGGCAACCGGGGACCCGCCCGTGCCCGCCTGGCTGCTCACCTGGGCACTGGGCTGCAGCTGGCTCAGTACGAAAGGCAGGAAGATGCCCATCAGCCCGTCCCGGGCGAACCCCCTCTGGGCCGCCCGGCCATCCGACTCGAACTTCTGCACAACACGCAGGCGTCCAGCAACCCTCTGCACACTGGCCCTGCCGCCCGTCCCCACTGCCCGTCCCCGCCGCCTCACCTTCAGCACACGCGCCCCAACCCTCTCCAGCTGCAGCGCAGCCTGGTCGCAGCCCAGAGCCGAGGTCAGACATTGATCGGCCAGCTGCAGGAAGGTGGCCACGGCGTCGGCCAGGAGCTGTAAGGGAGGTGTGTGGTGACCCCAAAATCCGGCCTGTCCCAACCCGCCACCTCGCCCAGTTGCCTCCTTGTGGTCCGGGAATGGGGCCTGTGTGTAAACTGGCGGAGGATGCTGAGGGGCCTCCTCCACCGTGCACTCTTGTGCAGTGCACAGACTGAGCAACTGGCCAGGCAGCACTGGATCATCTCACTCGCATGTCCATCAGCAGGTCCCCTCTCAGCCTTCAAAATGCATCCCACTTCTTCTCCCCATCCTGGCTTGCCTTCCTCCACCCTGCCCCTGACAGCAGTGGAGGCTGCCTAAGCCTTGACATCCGTCATGCTCCTCCTCTGCTCACACACCTGCTGTGGCTCCCCTCAGCCCTGGGGACAGAGCCCACCCTGACTGCCGCTTCCTCAAGGCCCTGCCCCCATCTGTCCACTCACCTAGCAGAGCACCCTGTGCTGGCCTGCCACAGCCCTGTACCCGTGCGTGGCCACTGCTCGGTCACAGGCTTACATCCGCCTGAGACCGGAGCCCCACAAGAGAGGCGGGCGTGGTCGGTCTTCACGGTCTCCCCAGGACACAGCCGGCCCGGCTCGGTGGAGGCCTCTGTCCCCATTCAGCCCGCCCCCAGCCTCACCTGCTGCACCAGGTCCTGGGCCCCAAACACCAGGCTCTGTGTCCCCAGGAAGCCGAAGGGCGCCGCCAACTGCGCCAGGCGTCCCTGGCTGCGCACGGTCTCCCGGTAGCAGGGCTGCATCAGCTCCGGGTCCCAGGGCGCCTCCCCAAAGGCATAGACCTGTGCTCCAGCGGTGGTTGCGGAAGAAAAACACTGTCAGTCCAGCAGGCGAAGGACCCCACGGCCAAGTCGCCCAAGGGGACAGGCCGATGGGAAACTCCCCCACTGCGACCGTCGCCAAAGCCATTCTCCATAAAGCTGCAGAGCAGGAGCGACACTAGGTGCTAAAGCCCCAGAAAACCGGAACCCGCGGTGCTGGACGGCCGAGGGGAAACGGCCCCGCCTGGAAGAACTGTCCACGGTGGCACGGAGACAAGGCGGCCGCACGGGACACAGCGGGTGTCCTTTACTACCAGAGCACTGGAGCGGCCTGCGTGGAGCAGGACTGTCCGGCTTGAGGAAGCCGACCCCAGACTGGCTGGGCTAAAATGCCACTCCTTCATTCCACTCCTACCCCCGCCATTCTTTCCTTCGCGTTGTCTTAGAGACGGGGCCTCGCCCTGTCGCTGAGGAC